CCACACCTCCAATGAAGACCTATAAATTCCTGTAAAGCTATGCAGCAGCATGGTCTGTGGTTAAACTTGACAGGAGTCTACAGGTCTTACCAAGGTAAGACGTATAATTCAACACGATCTAGGAAAAGAAGCCAGCGAAAGTGCGAAATGCCCCTCCCCCTCCTTTCCCCCCAAGCCAAAGAGCGCCCTAAAATTCTGCCTCAGCAAAAGGAAGCTCATAGTGGATCAGCCACATCGAGCATTCCATGCCTTCACAAATCATAGTTCGTTCACACATCTGGGAATTCCCTCTTCCCTCATGAAGTGCCGTTTACTAGGGCGCCACTATACGATACTGTGCGTGATGCTAATTTCTCTTAACCATTATTTAGTGTTAGTGTGGCGAGCAGGAGAACCGTTTTTGATCCGAAATTTCGCTAGGCAGAAACAGAGAATTACGGTAGTTGATATCAAGCAAAATAAATCACAATAAACATCAAAGAAAAGTTCTTGTTCGAAAATACCATGATAAGAAAGGAATGTACCGGATTGTGGTGGAATGATTCTGATATGGCATGTGATAAACTGAACTGTTAAAACCACTAAAGATAGGTCTGACGTATGCTAGCGGTCTCTTATTAGGTAGCTCACAAATACTGAATTGAACTCTTGAAAAGGACTTGAAAGAAAAAAAAACTCACTTCTAATAACCTGTACGACTGATATCGAAACCTGGCAGGGGCGGGGGGGGGGGGGGCAAGGAGGGGTGGACTGAGCTCACTCACGGCTGCATTTCCCACCAATAGTGGGCAAGCCAAATTGGAAACAACCAGCGCGTGGAAACCGCCGCAGGTGAGCTCATTCCACGCATCCTGACACCACGTCGCCAAATTACGGTAATGCCACAGTACAGCGACGTAGCCAATGTATATGTCAGTGTTTTTATCCACGAGTTTGCACCTGATTTGTCAGCCTTCGAAGTTTGAAAGTTTGGTCCTCGGCGAAGTTAGTCACGGATTTGACGATGCGCACAAGCGCACGATAAGTGGAACTACTTGTCACTACGCCATCTCCCTTTTTTACGGTAGTCCCAAGAAACGGTTCACAGCTATGGCAACGCTTCGGCTTCATTTTCTCAAGCAATGGAAAGAGGGGGGGGGGGTACACTTCTACAGCTGCGTCCATTGACCTCGAATGCGTCAAGGACCATCCTTGCACGAAAGCGCAGCGTTTCTTCAAGGCAAGCGGCATGATAAATCCCGAGACCTGCCGGATTGATATGCCCAGCAGCGTCGGGAGTATTGTGAGTACGCACATTGCAGTCGTAAACAAAATCGCGTAAGGTTCATTGAGCACGATGGGCCAACGGTAAACCTCGACACAAAATGCTTTCTGAGTCCGGTAGCAACAAAGGCTTATTTGGCAGGTTTTTTGAACCCTTTCATCTCGTCTTTTCCTTCTTTTCGCCCACTACACGGGTCTTACGCATTTATGGTCTACGGACAGCTAAAACTCAATCCCTTTAATGGCGCCAACTTTCTTTTTTCTCTGCGCTCTCTTGCCTGAATGGTGATTTATGGCCACTTTGACCTTTCACATTCCAACTTTTCACGCATACTAAGTGGCTCATCCACCCCGGTGTCCCCTCCCTTCGAAAAAGCTCATCTCCTGGCTCGCATAGTGTTTTTTCTACCGATGCCTTAGCTGTAGCAGTCCCTTATTGCTCTGCGCTCTGGCCTATCGTGGCAGGACCCCCACCAAAAGTTTTAGTTGTCACGTAACTGCCTTTTATTGTTACGTCTTTCGTCACAATTTATTTGCTCGATGGTGAAACTACTAAAAATTGAAAGAATAAAGTCCATGTGATTAGTCTGAAACGACTAGATGCAGATCAACAAATTCTTGCTCAGTAGAAGAGTTGGTCTAATATGACATGATCAGTAGAAAAGTTTTCTACCTCTGAATGACTTCCTGCAGCAAGGGTTTTCTTACAGGCCTCGTTCTCACATCGCAAACACGGCCTGTGCCAATCCTTTCCAATAGACGTAACTCTTTCAGCTGCAACAACGGGGATTCTGATTATTCTGCCTCGATGAATATCTGATTTAATAAGAACTTACCGAAGTAGACAGGTTTGTTACAACGAGGGCAGTTGGGCATGTCGTTTTAGTGAATAAAACTGAAAATAATAAGTAAAAAATTGAAACGACCAGTAATTCATCAACGGTGAAATGAATATGCGGAACATTTCAAACGAAATAGAAGCGATATGGAGAATTTCGATTCGACGATTAGATAAACACACATTGCACGTGTCAATTAGCACGTTCACTTTCGGTCACGTGTACTGCCTTGTTCGCTGAGGATGATGGGCCACATCAGGGGGCGTCTCAGGACACCTGTCAACCGCGGGGCCTCCCTCCCCTTCCTTTTTTCTTCCTTCTTTTCCTTCTCTCCTTCTCTCTTCCCTCCTCCTTTTCCTTCTCCCTTCAACTGCTGGACCAGTAGATGGGATGGAAAAATACCTCTGGCCCTCGTAGCGAGAACATGTCCGATTGACAAGAGTCCTGTAACCGAGGACATCGGGGGATGGGTTTGGCGCAGCGCCAGCATGCTTCTTTTCTTTTTTACTTCGTACAGCGATAACAATGCATCATATCGTTCGTATCAGTCGTTTTCCGCCGTCTATTGTCGCTTAACCGTTTCGACAACTGGTGGAGAGCGGGCTGCGACGCGCCAAATTCCGCCTCACTGACACGCCCCATCTCCGCAGCGAAAAAGACAGAAATCAGCCAGCATGACGATAAGAAATAGAGATATTGAGAGGAGACAGAAACAACGTCTTCAACGTAACTGCAGTGAATTAGGTTAATTTTATGAGAAGTTGATATTTGGTGGATACAGTACGACGACTAGATAATTTTCCAGGAATACTTGTGCGGGTCACTCCTTGTTAGTGGACAATGCTTTTTACCTATTCAGATTCGCGAGCGTTTGGTCTATGCAGTGCTTTGAGGAGAGCAGCCGAAGTAAAAGCCAGCGCTCCTATCGTGCTAGACGGGGTGGCAACAACCAACCGACGCCGAATGGTTTGGCTCGGGCAGGATTCAACCGAAATTCCAGGACTGAACCGGACACGTGCTAAACGATGCTATTTGCCATCACAACACCAGCGCCCGTGCTCTATTGACGTTTGCCTTTCAAAATTGACATTAGCTTTGCAGACGTATATTCGATATCTACCAAATGTCTGACGATGAAGCCTTGCAATGAAACAGAGTATACCGTAGGAATTGAGGGGGAAATCCTTAGGGAACTTATGGTGAGACCTTCCGTTCAACCGAAAGAAAAGGTTTTGTTCGACTTTTTTCTAGGGGAGGAGGGGGGGGACGAATGATAGAGAGCGTTTTGGTAGTCCTAGTTTGCTCAGTTCACGCATCTTGATGAGATCTGTTAACTCTTGCTCTAACTACGAAACTAACTTACGAAACAAAAGCCAGCGAAAGCGCGAAATACCCCTCCTCCCCCTCCACAGCCTTCACAAATCATAGTTCCTTCACACATGTTCCCTCATGAAGTGCCGTTTACTAGGTCACCACT